CACTGGAAGAGACTTCAACTATTAAAACTTCATGTGCACTGCTTTCAAATGACGTGGCAGGATGCTTATGGTACTGAAGATGTACTGCCACAACATCTCACTCTAGCTCAAGATTCATTTGCTATTATTACATCAAAATTCTTTTTTGATAAAGATCTTATTACATCAGAATCTTGTTAAGAGATTGCTACGGAAAATATAAAGCTACTGTCTTTAACGTACTTTAGTGTTCTTTTAGTTCTATATAAAAAAATGGATTTCTTTTGGTTGATCGATTTAATCAAATATCATATTGTCAAAACATACGAATAATTTTACCGTTTAGGTTATTTTTTTTTTTTTGTAGAACTTTGCAAAATTTTAATAATGCACGGTTTTTAGAACTTTGCATTTAATGTTTAGATATGAATATATGTATTTCTAATTACCATTTTAAGAAAATGAAAATGTTAACTAAAGTAAGTAAATCATCCGAATTAATCACATCGTGTCCACGTTCCCTTTCACGTATTGCCCAAATGGGCTCCTTTTCTTCGGTAAGTTAGAGCGAATTCTCAAAATCAAGTAATAAATAAATTCCTTTTTTTTTATTTTCCTCTTTATGATTTATTTCCTACAAATGCTCAAAATTACCTAATTTGAGGAGCTATTTCGAACTATGGATCTTTGGAAAATTTTTATTTAAAGCTAGAGATTTCTTTAGGTCTGGGCGTTCGGATATTCGGGTCGGGTTTGGGTCGGGTTTTTCGGGTTCGGGTTTAGAAAACTAAGATCCGTTCGGGTATTTTAAAACTTCGGGTTCGGGTCGGGTTTGGATCGGGTATTTCGGGTTCGGATTCGGGTTTACCCGAAGTATCCAAATATTAGAAATTTTGTATCCGATTCTATGCAAAGTATTGAAAAATACTTAAAAAAATCTATAAAACCCAAGTATTTTAACTCATATCTAACCCAAAGTAGTTAAAACATCCGAAAATATCTTAACATCCGAATAATTTAGGCACTTAGGTTATTACAAGTATAAATATTACCAATATATTATAACTATGTATTTATATTTTGGGTATGTTCGGGTACTTGTTCGGGTTCGAGTTTGGGTCGGGTTCGGGTTCGGGTTTTCGGGTTGTGAAATTTAGAACCCGTTCGGATATTTTAAAACTTCGGGTTCGGATTCGGATCGGATTTTTTGGGTCGGGTTCGGTTCGGTTCTTCGGGTTCGGGTATTATGCCCAGGCCTAGATTTATTCAACTAATGCATTCGAATTTGAATTTTTTATGTAGAGGAGGTTTTGGATACAAAATAAAAGAATTTTTTTTGGACAAAATAAAACAAAAATTAAAGCCATATTTTATTGACTTAAGAAAGAAAAATGTGGAGAACTTTCAAAGTGGATTAAAAATATGTTTTAACGAGTTTATTTTTTTTTCAGCTATTAAAAATTTGAATACTTTTACTATATACAGTTGTATCTAAATTTTGCAACAATTAATTATGTTATCATTTTTACAACATGAAAAACTTTTATGATGTTACGATTTTTAAAACTTGGCATTATTTAATGTAATTTGTCTAATTAATTTTTTTAAATTATGATTCATTCTACATCATACGATTTTTCCTTGCACCATAATTCCAACGAAAATATCTAATATGGCATTTATGTTTTAGATATGATTATAATATTTTTAACTATCAATTACAAATATTGAATAGTTAATTAAAGAAAGTGAATATTCCGAAATTAATCACAATTGTGACCACGTTCACATTCACATCCACATCCACGTACTAAGTTTCCATGATCGTATATGCCAAATGTGGTTCCATTTTCACCGCAACGTTAACTTTGATTTTTTTTTTAATTCCACAAATCAACTTAACCATAAATTCTGATTTGTATTTCCCTTTTTATGGTTTATTTGCTCCTTAATTACCCAATTTCTTCTGATTCGAAAATTCCACTATATTAATAACTTTGAGAATTCGATTACCGAATTCGATTTCTTCTTCTTCTCCACAATTTTCGATCGCAGACGAAGATCTTTCGCCGGTAAATTCCTCCTTCCTTTAATAATCTGATCGATTAATCGCGTTTCTAGAAATCGTTGATTGTTATTGTTTCTGCGAAATCGAATTCTGTAATTAGATTTGAGAATGAAACAGTTTCTTGTTTATTGAGTTGATTCATGGAATTTGGTAGAATTGTGGTTTAAGAATCTGTTTATTTATTCAGTATGTGAGATTTTGATGATGTTGAGTGGAATTTATAGTGATGAGGTTTTTTTTTTTTTTTTTTTTTGTTGTTGTTGTTGATAGATTGTGAATGGAAATGGGTGTTATGGAGAACTCGATGGTGCATACGGAGACATCAAAGGTTAAGTCGTTGAGCAATGGTGAGGTTTTAGTGGAGAAACGAGGAGTGTCAGTTTTGGAGAATGGTGGTGTTTGCAAGCTTGATCGAATGACTGGGCTTAAGTTTAAGCGGCGGAAGGTTTTTGCTGTGAGGGATTTTCCGCCGGGGTGCGGGACCCGTGTGGAGCGGTTTGGGTCGATGGAAGTGAAGATTGCTTGTGAGAATGGGAATGTTGCTGAAGATGTTAAGGTTGTTGAGTCTTTAGTTAAAGAGGAGAGAGATGATGGTGTGGATGTATCAGGTGGAGAATTGGAAGCGGAGAATGGGAGTGATGTTAGTATGGCTGAGGCGGTGGAGGTTCAGCCGTTGAGCATTTGTTTGCCAGAAGGGGACGTGGAGAGAAATGTTGAACAGACTGTGGAGGTTGCTGGGTCGATGGGACAGAGCTTGGTTCTTGAGGATTCGGGTTCTGGTGCTAGCAGCAGCGGAACAACTGAAAACATGGTGAGGGATGTCGTTGTTTATGCAGATGAGAGCAGTCTGGGAATAGATGATTTGGATTATACTGAGCCGTTGGAAATTGAGATGTCAGATGTTTCTGTTGCAAAACCGAGTCTTGTTGCGGGTAGAAGAAAGGCAAAGAAAGGAGTTGCATTTCATTCATCCTTGAAGCTTACCAAAAAGAACAACCGAGAGTATGGTGAAGGATCTAGTAAGAGGAACAGTAAGAGCAATATATATTGGCTTGATAGGGAAAGTCTGGATTTTCCTCATCAGGAAACATCTCGGGAGCTTCGGATACTAGATGTTGGTTCAAGCAGTGGTGATGATAGTATTCGGAACAAAGTTAAGGAAACTCTGCGTCTTTTCCATGGCGTGTGCAAAAGGATTTTGCAGGAGGATGAAGCAAAGCCTGAGGACCAAAGGAGAAAAGGTAAAGGTCTTAGAATAGATTTTGACGCTTCGAAGATTCTTAAAAGGAATGGGAAATATCTCAATTCTGGTACACAGATTTTGGGACATGTACCTGGAGTTGAGGTTGGTGATGAGTTCCTATATAGGATGGAGCTGAACATTCTTGGTGTACACAGACCAAGCCAAGCCGGTATCGATTATATGAAATATGGTAAGGGCATAGTTGCGACAAGTATTGTAGCCTCTGGAGGGTATGACGACCATCTGGATAACTCAGATGTCTTGACCTACACTGGTCAAGGCGGAAATGTGATGCAAGTAAAGAAGAAGGGAAAGGAACTGAAAGAGCCCGAAGACCAAAAGCTTATATCAGGAAACCTCGCGTTAGCAACCAGCTTAAAGAAGAAGACACCTGTGCGTGTCATTAGAGGCAAACATAAGTCAACTTTGAAGACATCATCTGGTGGAAATTATGTCTACGACGGTTTGTATCTTGTGGAAGATTATTGGCAAGAAGTTGGATCTCACGGGATGTATGTCTTCAAGTTTCAACTTAGGCGCATACCTGGACAATCTGAACTTTCATGGATAGAGGTGAAGAAATGTAAGTCAAAATACCGGGAAGGTCTATGCAAGCTTGACATCTCAGAAGGGAAAGAGCTGTCACCCATTAGCGCTGTGAATGAAATAGATGACGAGAAACCGCCTTTGTTCACCTACACGGTTAAAATGATTTACCCAGATTGGTGCAGACCAGTTCCTCCAAAGTCATGCGGTTGCACCACACGCTGCACAGAAGCCAGGAAGTGCGCGTGTGTGGTGAAAAACGACGGAGAGATACCGTACAACTACGATGGAGCCATTGTTGGGGCTAAGCTTTTTATTTATGAATGTGGCCCGCTCTGCAAATGCCCTTCTAGTTGCTACCTAAGAGTCACACAGCACGGGATCAAGTTACCGCTTGAGATCTTCAAAACCAAGTCAAGAGGTTGGGGAGTGAGATCGCTTAAATCGATCCCTATTGGTAGCTTCATATGCGAATACGTTGGTGAACTCTTAGATGATAGCGAAGCAGAAAGAAGAATCGGGAACGACGAGTATCTCTTTGATATTGGTAACAGATATGATAACTCTTTAGCGCAAGGGATGTCAGAGCTAATGCCAGGGACACAGGCAGGCCGAGCTATGGCAGAAGGTGATGAGGCGGGTGGATTCACCATTGATGCAGCAAAGAAGGGGAATATTGGGAGGTTCATAAACCATAGCTGCTCGCCAAATCTGTATGCACAAAACGTATTGTATGATCATGAAGACAAGAGAATCCCTCACGTGATGTTCTTTGCTCAGGACAATATACCTCCGCTTCAAGAACTCTGTTACGACTACAATTATGCGCTCAATCAGGTACGTGACTCTAAGGGTAATATCAAGAAGAAACCTTGCCTTTGTGGTGCTCCCGGATGTAGGCATAGGCTCTATTGATCGATTCGCCTCCAACTTCTCTGTTCCATTTAGATTCTTTCTTGTTTTCAGTTGGTTCTCTCAAACTTTTTCCCATTTTGTTATTCAGATTCTTCTTGTTTTATGTTAACATTTAGTCTTTATAAAGTTTGAATTTAGTCAAAAACCAAGTCTCTCTTTCGTATCATAGATATATTGTTACAGCAGATGAATAGTATTAGAATGATTAACTTTTCGTTTCACTTAATTATATTTATAAAACGTCTAATGAACTTCATGAATGTTTTGGTATGGTAAAAAGATAGCGGAATCATGTTTTCAAAACGTTAAACAGTGTTTTGGAACTGTACAAGACTCTGTTAAAATTTCAATACAGATAGATTCCTATTTAGCTAAAGTTTTTATGGAGTTAGAATCGATAGTTCTTGCCTCCTTGTGTTCTCACTTCCAGTTTCTTCTTGATTAAACCGATCTACACTGTTTATGAATATCCCTGCAAAAGCAAAATTCGCAACAAAAAGTTTGATTTGGACCAGAAAGCTTTCATCATTTGAGTTAAAAAGAATTGAGATTTATTTTACCTATAAGCCATATTGCAGCAGCTAAGAACAGAATCGATGTAAGAATCAACGCCGTTTTTCTCCAACTGTTGATATGATCCTGCGTATACAACAATGGAGCATTTTGGTTTCCGAAGGTTCTGATTGGAGATGTAAAGAAGGGATATTTTACCTGAACGATACCGACAAGAGGCGAAGAAGGAACATCGCCGAATATGTGAATTGCGACGGTGGAGATAGCCATTGATAATGGTCGTAAACTTGGTTTCACACAATGCAAACACACATAATTCACAGGAGCCTGAAGAAGAAGAAAGACGAATCTGTTCTTTATGAGAAATTTACATTACAACAACAATATACACAAGACTCCTCAAAGTTTACTCTTTACCTGTGTTGCAAACACAAGAAGCTCTCCTAAGGCAAAGAGAGCGATGAAACCGTATAAACTCTTCAGGGTAAATGCAGTGAAGCAAAATACCGCCCCGAGAAATGTTGCTCCGGATAAGAGCTGAATCCAAGATTAAAGATAAAAACCTGAGTAATCCGAAATACTAGAAGAAAAGCCTTTTTTTTATACCTTAAAAGCATTTGGAATTGTCGCAGTGACGCGATCAAGTAGAAAGCCTCCTGATAATGTTCCAACGATCCCACAAATGATAGTTACTGCCCCGAAGATCATATCCGCGTTTTTCTGTCATGATACAGTTCTTGAATCTTTCATGAAATCCCAAAGATGAATTTGATATGAAACAAGAGAAAGAGAATTTGATGAATGACAGTTTTACCATCTTATAAATATTATAACCCGCCTTTGGTCCCCAATATGAGTATGCTCCTATAACAAAATTGTATGATACATAACCTGTTTAAAGGCAAGTGCATGTATCATCAATCAACAAAGAAGATAAATAGTGTAACAAGAAGTACAGAAAAAGTAAGAGGAAAACATTACCTAATACATTAACAACAAAGACCTTTTCTTTATACAGAACTTTCATGTCTTTTGCAAATCCAGTAAATGAATTTAAAACCGCTTTCGCATAACTTGACCTACCACAGTTGAAATATAAATAAGCTATGGAAGAAAAAAAAAAAAAAGATACAATGAAATCTACTCACTTGCTAGTTTCAATTGAGACCTCAAACTGATCATGCTCAATCTCATTACCAACCTGAAGACGATTGTTGTTTTTCGATGTCTCTGAGCCTGCAAAAGGCAAGTGTCACTGCACAATTGTATAATCAGAGCACATTAACATTACCATAGATGAGAGAATAGAAAAATCACCTACTGATGAAGCGATTACTTCAATTGATCTAACCGTCTTTATCGAATCACTAGAAGGAAACCCTGTTTAATATTTTTCTCAGATCAATATCTTTAACATTACATGCTTAATATATAACATAAGACACGATTTGTTCCTAACCTTTTAACTGCAAAGGTTTCATTAAAAAACCAAGGACAGCAAATGGAGCCATTAAAACAGCTTCACCCCAAAACGCATAGCGCCAACTAATATGTTTTCCGACCTAAAAGTAACAAAAGGAATCACGGATTGCGTTTTTCGTATTTTTAAAAGTGTTTTGACATCAAATATAACTTACGTATCCGCCATAGACATAACCAAGAGCAACACCACTTGGTATACACATGTAAAACAGTCCCAGCCATGCAGCTTTCTATAAATAAAACAAGGTTTATAAATATAGGGGTGCATTTGGCTTCATAAGAAGTTCAAAACAAATATCAAACAGAGACCTGTTTTTGAGGAGCATTTTCATCTATAAATGGAGCTGCAAGACTAATGAAAGAAGCTTCACCTACACCAACGAACCTACGAGTAATAATAAGAGTATTTGCATCCAATGACAAAAAGTCGCATATGGCGAAAACAAAAACAAAATCAATCATAAGGTTTACTAACAAAACAAAACAACTTACATACGACATAAGACGATAAACCAAAAGGCAAAGGAACTGCCACAACCAAGAACTGCAATAGTCCAAACAGTTAAACCTACTCCAATAAGTCTAAATGGATTGAAACTGCACTAAACACAAACAAACCAACTTTAATAACTTTTTTAGACATCAATTAGAAGAGGGAAAATAACAAAAATGAAAGTTCTTTCTGATCACCTTTTTGCCAATGAAGCAAAGATTGGTGATGCAATAAGAAGTCCAACCATAAATGAAGATGACAATACACCATCTTCGAAATTACTTAGGTTAAAATGTCCCCTAGAAGAAGCAACTTTTACATCAAAGCAGCCCTAACTTAAGAAAAAAATATGTTGAATAATCATCCTGATTCTACCCTGCATCAAAATAATATCTTACTGAATTCCAGTTGCAAGAGTGCATTTGCCTTTATCATTACAACTCCTAGTACTTCCATTGACACCGTTGCTCGCTATCGCACCACGATCCATGTAGTTTAACAAGTTAATGATGCAAAAGATCACTAGTAACCTGGAAAAGTATATTCAAGAAAATAATGATGCAGAAAGTGTAATCAAGAGTCTATGTCTCAAAGTTCAAACTCAATATCTAAAACAAAAATGTATCTTGAACATATATATAATTGAATGCAAAGAGATAGAGTCTTAAACAGAACAAAAACAAATAATCACTATGTATCATTTTTCTTCGAATTTCATGGCAAACAAAGAGAAAGAATAAAGAGTAAGTAACGAACAATATACCAAACGGGAGAGAGAAAGGAAGATTCGACGATTTCTATGCTTCGAACAGTCTCTAACTCCGCAAGAGGAGTAGTAGATGAAGGAGAATAACATCTCGGCGTCTCCGTCGCAGGAGGAAGACAATCTTCTTCTTTGGTGACCACCATTTGATAACTCAAACAAAGTTCTTAGCAAAAAAAAAAAGGAAAAGGCAAAGAAATATTGGACTTAGAAAAAGTGAAATTTTATCAGCTAAAAGGAACTAACTACACGTGAATAAAGAAATATTCTTTTTCTCTCTCTGTTTCTTTTTCTTTATCATCCTCTCTGGTTTTACCAAAAGAATCCTCTGCTTTCACTAACTTGGAAGGTTTCCAACAGATTCCTTCGAGACAGAGATTCCTTCTTCGGAACAGGAAGCTCCGCGTCATCGGAAAACAAAAACGAATAGTCTCAACTTTCCTTCTCACCTCATTCACAACTTTAGGCCGCTTCTCTTGTGATACATTCTTAGTGCCTGAACCACTCGTTGAAACAAGTCTTTTCTTCTTAAATTAACTCTTGTGATAACATTGAGCATTAGCACTAACTGAACCGCCCTAAACCGCTTGATTCGTCCATTTCAATCCAAATGATTCAATGTCTTTAGTATTGTTTCCTTTTTTTTTTTTTTTTTTTTTTCCTTTTTTCAGCAGTATTGTTTCCTTTTAACTAAACTACAATTGTATATATAAATAATTGAGATTAGGTTGTGTCTGGATGGATCTGATACAGCGTGACATCTCCTAATCACATTGAGTTTTACTTTTCGTTGGTGATACGTTTCCTTAATCTTTTGGGTGTTTTCCTCTTTAGATTGGGATTTCTAGTTCTCTTGGTGTTACAAAGTTTCTATAAATAGAGATTAGCTTGGTCGTCGTTGTACAGGATCTTCTTCTTATTATTAATCAAAGAACCCTTTAAAGGTCTTCTCTCTTTTTCCTTAAACCCTTTCAAGGTATTCTCTCTGAGAACTCAAACTCAACGGGTTTAAGAAGGCTAGACGACTAACGGGTATTCTTAGAACTCAACATTACCCTCGCGTTATCTTTACTTCAGCTACGTCAATATCCTCTCTCACAGAAAGCCCTAGCGCGAGAAGCGGAACTGATCCCACCGGGAATCAATCAATGAATGAGAGGGAGGTGTGTGGGTTATGGTGGTCGCTGCCAGATGAGGTGGCTGTGGATTACCTGGCTCAGGTGTCGAGATTGGACCTGGTGGCCTTAGCCATGGTCTCCAGGAGACACCGGTTTGTCTCAGAGTCCCATAATCTCAGGGCCTTGAGATTTCAGATGGGTAGCGTGGAGCCATATTTGTACGTATTTATGCACATGTATCCAGATCCAAGCCCACGGTGGTTCGTCCTCCACCCCGTGCAACGTCTGCTCAAACCGGTCCATTCGAGCTTGCTTCCGGCCCCGGAAGAAGGGTCCTGTTTCGTGCAGACGGATTGGGGGATCTATATGATCGGTGGACTTGTGAACGGCAAACCCACATCGGAAGTTAGGTTTTTTGATTGTATCAACCACACAGTGTACCGCATTACGTCCATGAAGATGGCTCGAAGCGGAGCATCAGCAAGCTTGATAGACAAGAAGAAGATATCGTGTTTGGAGGGTGCTGGGATGTCGCTGATTCCTCAAACTGGGTAGAGGTATTTGATATGGAAACCGGAACTTGGGACTTGTTGTATGTGTTTACGCCCAAGATGCCCCTCAAAATCCAACAAAGTGTGGTGTTAGACGACAAGAATGTTTACGTGGTGGATGAGGATGGTCAAATCTTTTCCTTCTCACCAAGTAATTGTATGTTTGTGACAAGCGGAATAAAAGAGTCTAACCCGGAAAGTAGAAACGATTGGCTTTTAGCTGAGGCATTGTTCTGCCGTGGTGTCGGCGGGAGGATACTGTGGCGTTTTCCAAATGAGACTGTTTGGAAGGAAGTGAAGGGTTTGGAAGAGCTGCAGCAGCAACACTGTGGTGGTTTTGATATCATCAAACTCTGCCCCTTCTCTGCTCAGAGGGTGGGCATCTTCTGGGAAGCCCGGCCTCAAGGTCCTGATCAGATTTTGGAGCTTTGGTGTGCCGAGCTTTCCCTGACCAGAAGCCAGGGAGCCGAGGGATGGGGGGAGGTTTGGGTGAACATTGAGTGGTCCGGTGCTGTCCTCTCACATAGTGGCGGCCTTAACTTGTTATGTGCTGCTTCTCTCTCTGCCTGAATATTCTCAATCCTTGTTTTTATTTTATATCACATATAACTTGTTTTAGGTATCTTTTGTGTGTGAGATTTATATAATTTGCCAGAAAGCTTTACTCTTATGCTCAGGGAATCAAATATTTTCGCTTTGAACATTGAACAGATTGCAACATGTTATTGATTTTTGGCTCATCTCTCTGTCTTTCCATTCCATTCTTCCTCATTTTGCTGTGTCCATTTCTGCTCCAATCTTATTTTTCTTCTTGTATTAGATTCCTTTTCATTGACAAGAAGAGTCTATCTAGAATGATGAATGCCTATCTAATCAACCATATCGGATGAACACACTTCATGAGCTACACCAACCACTTTTTATTAGAGAAGCTGCAGTTCTATGTCCTACGCATTTTAAAGCCTTGAAGCAGTTGTTAAAGCCTTAGAGGAAGCTATATACTTGAGAGCGATTGACTTGAAAACCTTGTCATGTCGATGCTTTATATGGATTTAGGTAAGGTTTCCGAGAGCTTCGGAAACGTACACTAGGGTCTTAGCTGCATGGCGTGCTCAGCTCAATAAAAGCGGTGTCTTTGGTAGGTGCTGGCCGAGGCCGAAGAAGCTAAACTAGCGCTTAAGGGACCGCTGAAACTGACAAACAGCGGAATGGTAATGGAGGAGAAGGTCCCTTTATCGTCATGGATGACAAGGTGAGATAATAATGTCAAAGAAACTGCTTCTTACTATGAAAATCAGAGCTAACTCTGCTTCTTGGTGGTTAGTTTAGAGATTCAGGGAGTTTCAATGAGAACCTCTTAAGTCTTATACAACTTATGCTCTGTTTAGAAGTTTAGAGACAGCTTCTCGAGTTCCTTCAGGAAAGGTTTTTTTTGTGAGAACCTCCTAAGATTGTGTTTTGTGGTACCGTTAGATCAATAGGATGTGTAGCCAGTGTCTGTTATGGCATTCCTGGACCGCGTTTGAGTTATTTCTTTTCTCGGATACTCCTAAAGTGTTAAGTCTTCTAATTGTACAATTTCAACATGTTATTGATTTTTGGCTAATCCCCCAATAAAGTTACTACTAATTTCAAGAACAAAAGATCCTTAATTTGAAAACACAAAACAAAAAAAAAAGGTCAAACTCTTTTTTGCCTCAAGCGGCCAAAGAGATTGTAATGCGAAAACACTGAAAAATATTTGAAGTCCTAAAAGAAGACAGAGCAAAAGTCTAACTTTTTTAATGGCTCAGCTTCCGATTCTTTCTCAGTCTTTCTCTCCTTTCTTCTTCCTCTAAGAGCTTAAGTTCTCTTTCATCTTCCTCCCTTGCGATTCTTGCACTGCATTTAACAATTCAACATGAATCATTAAGGAATATCGAAGAAACAAATAAATGAAACTTGTGATCAAAATACTCATGTACCTTCGTCTCTCTTCCTTTTGGATATCTTCAAAGCCTGCTTCCATGTTTATATCATCATCGTCATACCGAGAATAACTCTTGGATGGTCTGAAATTGAAAAGCAGAACCCATATAAGTATCAGGAGACGTCAAAAAAATATAAATGTAATGGATTTGAGAGTAAGAAGAAAGTTTGAAGCAATACTTACAACAACTGTCTAAGCATGTCGAAAGCTTCTTCGTCCTCTGACCTTCTTGCAGGCTTCCTCTTCTTCAGCAGCCTCCTATCATGATCTATATCACGCGAGGGAGGTCTCTTGGGCGCTGGTTTACTCATCATCTGTTCATATTACTTGACAAATTAGTGCCTTGGCCAGAGGAAGGACCTAAGAGAGAGATGTGAAAGATCATGATCATGAATGATACCTGATGTTTCGAGGTAGGCACTGATTGTTTTTGTATCATTCGGGGTGTGGCCATGTCACGGGAAACCTTTCTCTGTTCTACTACCCGTTGCCTAGGATCAGATGACATTGGTCTTGATGAGGATGGTCTCTGAGCACTTTGAAGAGAACTCTTTCCTCCCGAGATGGAGGGTTTTCTTTCCAATGAAGTCTTAGAAGGCAAAGGTCGTGCCGTCGACGCTGACCGACCAGGACCAACTCCATTGCTACTGCTCATCTGTTTCCTATGATCCACTGGCACTTTCGCAAGAGCTGATCTTTGGGAATCTGATCTGGAATTCGGTTGCCCATTCCGGTTGGCTGATTGACCATTCATTGTGGAACCTGAACCTGGTGGCCTCATGGGTGCTTGACGGTTTGTCGAGGAACCCGGTCTTTGACTACCTGAGGACGCAGTCCTTTGTTGCATTTGGCTACCAGCGGAAGCCGGTCTTGAATTTTGCATTTGGCTGCCTAAGGAAGCAGGTCTCCCTGAGACAGCTCTCGACTGCATTTGGCTGCCAGAGGAAGCCGGTCTTGAATTTTGCATTTGGCTGCCCGAGGTAGCTGGTCTTAAATGATTCATTTTACTGCCAGAGGAAGACGTTCTTGACTGATTCATATGACTGCCAGAGGATGACGGTCTTGAATGCCCATTCGCTGAAACAGGTCTCTTCTCCTCACGATGGGGACTGTGAGCAGTTCTACCATTGATACCTGATGATTGTTTGGGCCTCGCTGATAATTGAGCAGATCGAGCCTCTTGAACATCAGCAAAAAACCTGTATAAGTTATCTTCATGAAAATGGTATGCTTAAAGATCACAAATCGGAAACAAGATTTTCAAAAGACACAACATACCAGAATTGGGAAAGGACCCACTTCGAGACAAAGGTTCCTTCTTCGGAACAGGAAGTTCCGCGTCATCGGAAAACAAAAACGAATAGTCTCTTGTATCCTTAAGAGTCTCAACTTTCCTTCTCACCTCATTCACAACTCTAGGCCTCTTCTCTTGCGACACATTCTTACTTCCTGAACCGCTTGTCGAAACAGGTCTTTTCTTCTGCACCCCACAAACAATATTATCAGCAAAAACATCATAAATGAACAAAAAGAAGCAAAGATTTGAGACACATACAGTTTGGCTCGAATTCGACATTTTAGCTGTCCGTATCTCATTTTCTAGCAAGGATTTGCTTTCTTGTATAACCCTTGAGGAAATAACAGGCCGTGAAGGACCAAAGAAGGAACCAAAGCTGCATAAAAAAATCAATAAGCTGATCATCAAAACACATTCCAGGATATTGAAAATGTAATTAGCCAACACATACTCGTTGTAAGGAAGTTTTCTTCTTCTCTCTTGTGAAGATTGAGCATTAGCACTTCCTTTTCCCATGTTCTTCCTAATTGATTCCTTCAACTTTTGGCGCAATTCTAGATATTCTAATTCTTCCTTAGGAGGTTGTCTTTCTTCTTCCTCTTCCTCATCCTCATCCTCATATTCATCCTCATCATCGCTGTAATAGTCATCATACCCAGCTTCCTCATCAAGGTCCTGTAATTTAACATATCAAATCGATGTCAGATCAATATAGCTTCAACGAAAGCTATGAACAAAATCACCCTCTTGCTTACATGCTCATAACCATGCATGTTTGCTTGAAGATAGCCTACCAATTAGCAGATCCCTGCAAACAAAAACGATGCTAATTTTTTTGATTAAATCGAGGTTGCAATTGAGATCGAACAAAAACTACAGAACTCGAGATCGAACTTTTGACCAAAACTCACAAAATCGATCTCGTTTCCAGAAAATCTCATAAATTCACCAAAAACTACAGAAATCGAGATCATACTTTTAACCAAAAATACAGAAAACTCACAAAATCGATCTCGTTTCCAGAAAACCGTATCAATTCAATCCAGAAACTAAAGAAATCGAGATCGAAATTTTTACCAAAAACACAGAAAACTCACAAAATCGATCTCGTTTCCAGAAAATCTTGTCAAATCAACCGGAAAATATATAAAACAATCACCAGATCTCAAATCTGATCTAAAATCGACGAATCTGATCGGAAATTGACAATTGACATACCTAGATTTGATCTGGGACCGATGAAACGACGAGAAAACGATGAGATCTGACGAATCCGATGAAACGACAAGAAATCGATGAGATCTGAAGAATCCGATGGAGAGAAGAAAGCGAACGATTGGGAACGAAGAGAAAGCGAACGATTGGGAACGAAGAGAAAGCATATAGATCTGAGAGAAGAGAGAAAGCTGCGAAGAGATAAAAAGGGATATAGAAGAAGAGGAGAGGGGTACTCTGGTTTGGATTTAGGTTTTGTGGGGAATAAAGAGGAAGAGGAAGAAAATCCAAGGACCCTGAAGCAAAATTAGGTCTTTTGCTATTATGCGCCATGTTGTTGCGCCTCTCAAACATTCTCACTTGCATATCTCTTTAAATGGGAAAATATTTAAAATTTATGATTTTTTGCCTTATTTAAGGATTCTTTCACTTTTTGTTTGGTTGGTAAGAAAAATTATAGATTTTTTCTTTTTTCCTTAATATATTTTTGGTAAAAACTAAAAAAGATTGAGTGAAAATTGAGACATCTCTTCCTGCCAGCGAGAATCCGCCGGGAATTGTCATCCATGGTGGTGGTGGTATAAAAATTCGATTTGCTTAAATAAAGATTTTAAATTAAAAAGAAATCAAAGATTAAAAAGTTTATAGAAAAGTATTACGCAATTTCCAGAGTTTTATTATTACAAAGTTATATGTTTCCTTTTTCATAAAATCTAAAAACCAATAATAGAGAAAAGAGTTATATACTTATATGTTTTCCTTTTCTGTTCTTTTTATATAAAATCTAAAAATTATATGTTTCCTTTTTATCCTCTCTTACCTCTCCTACTTCCAAAAATTTGTAGACCTCTAGTTTTTTCTTTAACCTCATCATATTAATAACAAAACGGTAAACAGTTTTTAACAGTAAAAACGGTAAATAATATATCAAAATAATTGTAAGAAATACAGGTTTCATATTTCAAAATTAGGCATGGGCATTCGGGTATCCGTTCGGGTTCGGTTCTTTTTTTCGGGTATCGGATCTATTCGGGTAGGGGGTCGAGACCCATTCGGGTATTCTAAAAATTCGGTTCGGATTCGGTTCGGGTTCGGGTCGGTTCGGGTATTTTAATAAAAAAGCAAAATACCCGAAAATAACCAAAAATATCCGAAATATTTTCGGATTCGGGTCGGGTTCGGTTTTTTTACTCGTATATACCCAAATCTAACCGGAATACCCGATTTCTCAAAAATACATTGGTTACTCTTTGCCCAAATATAACCAAAAATATCTAAAAATACTAAAATTACCCAAAAGAAAACTACATCATTAGTTACTTTTTAACCAAATATATCCAAATGTATTCGAATTACTAAAAAATACCTAGTATATTCGGATTTATGATTGTAATTTTAGGTATTTCGGATATTATAAGTATAAATATAACTAATATTTTTAGGTGTATATTTGTATTCGGGTACCCACGGGTACTAGATTCGGTTCGGGTTCGGTTCGAGTTTTTTTCGGGTAGGAGGTCTAGGAACCATTCGGATATTTTTAAAAATCGGTTCGGGTTTGGTTCGGATATTTTTTTGGGTTTTTTGGTTCGGATATTCGGTTCCGGGTATTTTGCCCAGGCCTATTTCAAATATTGATTACAATTCAATTTTTTTTTCGTTTCACTATCATTTGCGTTTTAATCCGCCCTTTAGTTGGTATGGACTAATGGGCCTTTTAATTAGGCCTGTAAATTTTTTCTCGGCCCAAATAATGATATTGTTGGTCGTCTTATTCAAAGAAACCGATCAAATCCAACGGCTGTGATTAATCTTCAAGATCAGAGAGATTTTAAAGAAACTGAAGAAGAAATCGAAATCTGCAAATTTCGTCATCTTCTTCTTCCTCCGATTCATCTTTCTCCGTTTCCGGCGATTATCTTCATCGATTCTTCAGGTACATGTGTTTTCAGATTCTTTATGTGTCTCTGACTCTCAACGGTTTCTTTAATTTGTAAATTCTTCTTCGCTTCATCGACGGTTTCTTATTCGCGACCTCGTCAGATTCTCTCTGTTTTTGATCTTTCGATTCCTGGATCATTTGGCTTATACGAACAATCAGAAATGTTTGGTGTTGATCGATTAGATTAGATTAGATTTGGTTATGGAGATTATCTGAGACCTTCTTTGTTGATGATGCTTGTTTCTTTCGTTCATGTAGATTTCTCAGTGTATTTGACTATCGTAGAATGGAGCTAAAGAATGTTAAAGATGCGTTTGATCGTGTTGCCAAAAAGCAGAAGCTTTGCTATAGCAAAACGCAGGAAGTTGTAGATAGACTGTCTCAAGAAATCAACAAGGCATTGGATACGATACATGAGGATAATCATGAATCTGTTGTTGCTGATCTGAAGAAAACTTTTGAGGAGATTTCTCCAATCAATCAACTAGAAGCGTCTCAGAAAGAAGTAAATGGTGCTCTGACCAAATATCCGAAAGCTTTGGATAAAACTCTGAATCCAGATATATCGACGGCTTATAGAAACATCGAGTTTGATCGTCATACTGTTCACCAGATAATAGCTCAGTTTTTCTACAGGCAAGGCATGTATGAAATTGGTGATAGTTTCGTTTCTGAGATTGGTGAGCCTGAGCTTGTTGAATCTTCTGTTACGAAAGCCTTCATGGAAATGAATATGATACTTGAAGCCATGGGAAAACGAGATCTTGGACCAGCTCTTAAGTGGGTAGCTTCAAACTCTGAGAAGATAAAGGAAGCAAAGTCAGATCTTGAGTTGAAACTTCACAGCCTTCACTTCCTGGAAATAGCAAAAGACAAAAACTCCAAAGAAGCTATCAACTACGCGAGAAAACACTTTGCTGCATATTCAGATAGCTGTTTGCCTGAGATTCAGAAACTCATGTGCTCTCTCTTATGGAACAGAAACCTCGTTAAATCCCCGTACTCAGATTTCCTCTCACCGGTATTATGGACCAACGCTGCCAAGGAACTAACCCGACAATACTGCAAACTACTCGGTGAATCATCAGAGAGCCCTTTAAGTGTAACAGTTGCAGCTGGTTCACAAGTTCTACCGACGTTTTTGAAATACTTAACCGTGATGCCAGAGAAAAGACAAGAGTGGCAAACAATGAAGCAACTTCTTGTACCTGTGGAACTCTCTGAAGAATATCGCTTCTACTCGGTCTTTGTTTGTCCTGTCTCTAAAGAACACTCTAGTGAAGATAACCCGCCGATGAGATTAGGTTGCGGTCATGTCCTTTGCAAGCAGTCTATCAACAGAATGTCGAGGAATGGATCAAGGTCGTTCAAGTGTCCTTATTGTCCAACAGATATTGATGCTTCGCAGTGTAAGCAGTTATATTTTTAGAGTAGTTTTATAACCCTTTCTTTTCACAACTTCTTATGCTGCATTTCTCAAAGAAGGTAGACAAATGTTTGTGGTCATTTTTTTTCTTCTTTCTTTTATGAACTTGAATTGAGTTCGTGTACAAAAACTATAGTTTTAAACAAAACCTTTATACCCATATGGTCTTTGGAGTTTGGTCTACTGGTCTTGGGATCTTTAATGACAGGAAGATCCGTTATCGCGCCACCTTTGATCACTTGACCGTAAAATCAAAGATCTACGGCCACATTCATCTTTCGAACGGATGCAGCCGACACAAATACCAGCGCCGGAAGTCCCAACCATCATCGTACGACCATCATTCATCGTTCACTCACTCACCAATGTATTGATTGTCGAATATCATTATCTATACGAAAATGGACAACCACAAAATCATAGTATATTATTTTGTGAACGTTAAAATTTGGTGCGTCATAAAGAAAACACTTTAAAATTTGGTATATCATTCACTTAACTATACAAATGATACACACCAAAATTTATGTTTAGAGAGCTTTTTGATATTCTTATGGATGGAAAAAGTATATAATAAAAATTAAAAAGTTATTAGTGAATACTAGTCAAACTTCTCTAGCTAATTATTTCGATTTTGCAATTTTTCATTGTATTAATCTTTTGATCTTTGATCAGAGGTTGATTCCAATACATGAAACGAAGAGTACCAGTTTACCAAAAATATTTAGTTTTCAATTTCTTTTCTTTGTAGCCTACGTATATGTCGGTCGCAAACTAGCCCATATTTATTAATCAAAGAAAATGCCATTAGGCCATTCAATTTATTTATTTATTAATCTAAAGAGAGAGAAAAAGATAGAAATTGATATGAAGTTTAAATGATTTTTTTGTGGTTTATATGAAACTTTTAATGTTTATTATAACAAAAGTTTTGTTTTTTCTTATAAAAATGAAAGTTAATAAACAAAATATTAGGTAAAATTCCACATTATAGTTTTAAATTGATCCCAACTAAGGATAAATGATCTCATAATCCTTAGTTCATGCACCTTGAAACAAGTAGTCATCCTAGGTCTAGTGAATTTTTTGTGCAAACTATACTCTGACATGTAATTGTACTATTCTAGTTTTTTAATCATATAATAGTTTACTTGAAAATATTGTAAAGAAAATCTATTTATCCCTAAAAATAATAGAAAGATATATTGTCACAAAATAATGGTGAACACCTACGGCGAAGAATGGTAACATTGAAGGTTTAGAAGATGATGAAAATGCTCTTATCGTTGTTGGTATTGAAGGTCTAAAGTCACAAGGCGACTAATTGGCCTTCCTTTGAGATCTTGACTCATCGAAAACCCTTTGAACTCCTTCCCATCGCAGTCTCTCCAACTTTGCGTGATTCTCTATGGCGATGTTGAAAACGTAGATCGTGGCTATCTCCGTTTTGCTCGTTATTCATACTCTCATACGGTGTTTAAGTATCTTGAATTGGAGGTATGTAATTACTTATTATAAAATGTATGTATACCATTTTTCTATGAATTACTAATAAATTACTTTTTTTTTTAGAGCTATGATCTCTCACCTCCTCCTATTGGTGTGAAGAATTTCCATTTGACTCTAATTTCTCTAACTCCTCATCCTTCTACTTTTATCTCTTAACTAGAAGATCACCCGCGCTACGCCGCAGGTTTTTTCTGTTTTTTTATTTTAGTTTATTT